GTAAAACGTTTTCCTCTCTTATCCAAAAATCGCTGGAACAAGAGAGAAAATAAATTTTAGTATGTTGAATTTTGATGATTCGATGATTTCATTTACTTTTTTATGGCTATTCCTTATATGAATGTTTTTTGAGCCACCTTCATTTTAAGATTGTTTTTGTTGCTTTAGTTTCAAGGTAAATCGTGAAATTTTGGTAATTGGCTTCGGGATATATGGATTTTCGCGAAAATTGTGTTCATCATCTGTCCCGGAACCAGTGACTAACGATTGGCAAACTGAAGTGGAAATTCAGGTTTACCAAAATTTTTATATTTCAGCATATGATTGGAAGTCCTTGCATTGTATGAAATAATTTGGTTTGATTGAACCTGTTTGTATGTCACATTTGGAAAACATTCCATGTTCGAAAAGCTATAAATAAGCTAAAAATATTATTCAACCAATTTGATTCGAAATAATCTTTTAGTTTGACCGGCAGGTGTTTATTTTAAGAAATAATATCTCTGCGTCCTGGAACGGGCGTGATCGTAAAGTTAACAAGAGTACTACTAAGAAGTCTGGTGAGCTACGAAAACGAATGTTTGAGATTTTTTATCCTTTGGGTTGCCGTATTTTGCAAATATTTCATATCTGTCGCATATTTGAATGCTAGTTAAGTGAGTGATGTTTTTAGTCCAAATTTCATTCTTACAGATATCACCCTCACCAGATGTCCGAATTGATTTGATAAAGAATTGTAAAAATGCGACAGAAACTGTCGTTATTCAAGGGACAGTGGGTGATGCAAATCCAGTTGTGGCCAGTTTCAGAAAACCAGTGCCTGTACCACCTAATGTTCTTTATATGGCTAGGATGAAGTTCCTGGTGAGTTTTCACTAATTAAGGTATCACTGGAACTGAAAGGACGAGTGATTATGAATAGCAATGCAACAAAGTATTTTTTGCTTATATACTTGCTCGGAATCACTTATTGCATTACCTGTCAGTCTCGTTCTTTTTAATAGGGAGGATATTGTATTTCGGATACGGATGTAGAGACTTATGCTGGCGAAAAAGGCATCGAAACAGCGACAATATCATTACCATTTGATGAAAAAGTCAATTTTAATTTCCAAACTTTTCGGAATTACTATGGAAGAGAAAATATTTGTGATGCTGAAGGACAGCTTCCTGAGATACACTTCCTTGTTCAGTGGCCCGAAAGAGCTCGTTAGAATTTGGACCTTCATATTTTATGATAAAACTTCTGCTGCTTGCACTTTATTTCACAGATACTAATTTATTTTAAATAAATTTGCAAACTTTGACGTTTTAACTATGAATGCATATTTTATAATCATCATAATATTTTGTTTATAAAACAAATGAATGAAATTGGTAACTTGTCTTACAGAAAGTAATATTATTTAAGCATGTGGGAAAAACTGCTGTCGCTGATAAACAGTAATAGTGACAAAAATATAACATTTATTCCACTTTGTTACGTTTCTTAGGAAATTATGAATATTTGGCATATTTAATTTGATGTTTTATGAAAGATGCGCTATCAATAATATGTGTATTATGTGCTAAGGGCGTTTTTTGAGATATACATACGCAGTAGTTTTGTAGTAATTATTATGAATGTGCATAAAATTCAAAGTTTTGGAAATTTTTTTTTTTTTGTAATTTTAGTCACTCTACTATTGTAAATAGTTATACCTCATTAATATCGTATGCTTTGACGAGATATCTATTTACCTAATTTGTGCTGGCTGAAATTGGTTTCGTAATAATTATAGCAATGTCTGAACTCAAAGATTACTATTTAATTTGAATTTTCTGAGATTTTTCTACATTTGCGCTGAGACTTATTTAATTCGCTAAAGACTTATTCAATTTTGACTCAGTTAAATGAAAATTTTCATTACCGATACAAAGATGATGAATGAAGATCAGAAGAATGAGAAATTAGTCGGTGCTGGAGTACCGTCGATATTTGAATTGATCGCACAAGACAGCTTATCAGTTTCTATTCAACAAGCTGTTTATCATATCGTGAAGGTATAGTGTTTATTTCCTTTTTCATTCTTCATACAAAGAACAGAAAAAAAAAACGGTTTATTGGCTGTATATGTAATAACATGTGGGAATTAATGCATGTTGAAGCATTATATGTTTAAAACGGATGTAAAATAACCGTAAGGTTATCATCAGGTTTCTGCTTTTATCAGTAGCATACAATATGCTTAACTTTTGATTGAAATTCGTAACAATTCACTTTGTGCATATTATAGCGCACCATATAGAAGTTTCAACGAACAGGCTTTATTGTTATGGAATGATTACTTTGAGAAGAAGCACTGCAAGTTTATCGTTTGCGGATAAAATAATTACTTACTTCTATGCAATTAGTGTTATGTGCATTCGTGAATAGTTCTTAAGTGCCTCCTGTAATTAGATATAAAGGATAAGTTTTGCTTAGTGAACATTCAAATTCAAACTAAGATATTTGAAGTACTTATATGAATTCAATCCTTCACGATACGAACTGCTGTGGAAATGGTGCGATGAAATATACGCGGCCGCCGATTTGGTTCTTGAAAGTTTCTATTTGAAAAAATATGGTTACTTTTCTTATTTAATACATTTTTTCTAGAAAGTAATATACTGAAGCTCACGGTTAAACTACTATGGAAATCTCAAAGTAGAGAGTAGTAGGAAGTGTAAATTGATAAAAAGGGTGTAAAATGAGTAGTTTTAGTGGGTTTATATGTTGATTAGTTTAAAAAAAAAGTAGTTGTAGTGGATTTATACACAACATTGGTCTAATTTCAATATTTGAAAGTTTTGAATTATTTCGTTACGGAATTAAAAAAATTTTCCCTCGTTTCAATGTTGTTTAGGAGCTTCGCTTACCGAAAACTTTTATGGAATGAAACGGATAATTAATGGCACGTGCAAATCAGCCTCGGCAGGATTTCCAAAACTACGTTCCTTATTCATACTTGTAGGTCATCTTCTTTTGAAGTTACTTGTATAATTTCATCATAAATTGTTTATAGCAGAAGTTACACCAGAAATTCGTTGTAAAGTATAGGTGAGAAAATATTTAACTATAGATTTTGTGGTGAAATTATATAGACAAACAAAAAAACGAAAAGGATTGCATTTGAAGACTACCATAGAATGCTGAAGTACAAAGTAGGATGTGAAGCTCAGATGACATTTATTTTACTAGGACTGCTGAAGAGCACATCTGATGTCACCGAAAAGAAAAATAATGACATGAAGTAGTGGATATTCTATACTGTGAAGGAACCGAAGAAGAAATAGATATTTTAGAACTGTTCTTAGTTTCCGTTTACATGTTATGAAGAATAATATATTTTATATCTTATTTCTCATATCAGTATGTTGTGGTGTACGTTTTTAGTGCCAAAGTTTTTTTTTTTTTTGAACTGACAAATAGTATTTAAGACATTCAACCAAGTAACCAGTACACAGCAATGATGAAAGTAAATTACTTTTCATTTTCAAAATTAGTTTATCTTCATTTTTCATGTGTCAGTGACCAGTATATATCTTCAGCCAAATAAAATAGTCGCTGAATATATTAAAATTGTTAACCACTAAATACATGTTTTTGTTTAGCATTGGTTTTCACTTTTTTTGCATTTAAAATTATCGTTGTTTTAAATTCGACGGATTTTTGAGAAATAAAAAATATTTGGTGTTAATTTTATAGGTTGGATGGCCTTATATAGTGAAAAAATTAGAAAAATTTTATTTATTATCAACGTATACGAGCAGAAGTAATTCAAAGGTAAGTTTTATATTAAAAGTATTCCCATTTGCATCTTGCTTATTTCCTAAATTTTTGAAGGTTAAAAAAAGAGAAAGATTTCATTTTTTCATTTTTTTGTTATATTTCGATTGAAGATGGCATGTATTTTTCATTCATTTTTCCGATTTATATTAGTTAACGCACAAAGATATGGAAATAAATTGATTGGCTTGAAAAATATATCCATCATTTTTGATCTGAACTATAGTTCAACATTCTAATAATTTTTGATCCAGCAACGGTAGGAGAGATTTTTTCTGCAAGAGTTACCTTTTCCTGCTAATAATAGCATATTATTTGGAACTTTTTACAGTTTCCTGGGATTTTTTCTTTCATTTAAGAAAAAAAAAATGACTAATCGAAAATGTATCTTTGCGAAATCATGAACTATTTCACTTTTGCAGCAATTTCCGTTAGTTCATATGCTTGTCAACTTTTATCCATGGATCAAAATATTATTCTCTACCTTTGCTTTCCTTCTTAAAATTGCTTATATATTATCGTTATGTAATGTACATTCACCGGAATTAAAATTTGCAAACGTACATTTGGTGAAATTTAGTCAAATTGATTTCGATGAAGCAAACCAAAAGTATTTTATTTTTGTTATTACTCTGCATATATTTTTTTTAAAGAAATGAATTATGCAGATCTTATTACATAAGTGAATAAAACGGAAATAAAATAGAATAATGGAAAACATTCATAGTCCTCTAGAAGTCTTATTCTAATTGTAGTTTCGTTATGATTGTTGAATTATGCTTAGATTTGAATTTATGCTAAAAGATAAATAGCATTTCAGGAGGGCTTGGCGGGTACTAGTTATTTTAGCTAATCTTCTTACTCGATGCATAAATTTTGGTCTTTATTTCATCCAGTTTCTGGATTTCTACTATAATAGCGATACTGGAGAGAATTTTCGCTTGGAGCAAAGAATACGAAAATGGAGATATCCATCAGCACCTCACAAAGTATTTTTCGAAATTTGCGAAATTCGTGCATCTTACCTCATGAAATTGTAGTTAATACATATAGTATTGTTTGTTACGTAGTCTATTTCTGAAGATAATAAAAGAGCACATTACATTGAAATTATTGGTTTTTGCATTTGTGTTTATAAAAACATTGTATTCATAGAATTTCATTTGTAGAAATTACGAGAAAATTCTGTATTACTTCTGGAAACGAACAAATGCCCTTTGTGCTTACGACAGCGTAACAATGATACGGTATGTTTCCCTTGCTACATCTTGATTATTTACTCCTTTTTGCGACATTTTAACTTTTTCTACTGCTTTATTCTGAGCAGATATGAGCTGGTAGAGCGGAAGAGAAGAGCACTGAAACATGCAAACATATGAGAAAGGTTTATTTTTCGTGCTATTCATACGGGTCGACTTGATAAATTTGATCAGCGTTAATAACGTTGGTATAATGAAGTGATATTATTCATCAGCTGACTATATCTCCATTCAAAGATAGGTATAGAAGATATCCAGTATTAATATCTTGGTAATAGTTCATAAAAAAATAAACTTTTCACGATAGGTGCTTGCTGTTTCTGGTTATGTTTTCTGTTATGGTTGCATATATTCATACGTGGAACGAGAGAAGAAATGCCCAGTCACGAGTTTGCCAGCGAATGTAGATGATTTGATCAAGATTTTTGTTCCCCCAGTGTAGATTTTTATTTTTTTTTCCATTCCAATAATTTTCCGTGTAATCTTATAAATTCTGTTAATGATGTTATATTTCGCTTGATCAAAAGTATTTGTAAATTATTTCAAGAATTAAAAGAGCAAGGATCAAATATTTGTTGATTGCTATCCTAAATAAATTTGATGCTATTTTAAGTTCTATTTGAAATAAACAATGAACTCTAAATCTTTTGAAAGCTTTCTTTATAATAATACAATTATAGATAGTTTCGAAATTAAATTTGATGTCAATTTTTAATCTTATTTTTCGAATATTAATCTTGAAACAAAAAGTTTAGCCCGGATTTTCGGCTAAGTCACTTGTAAGCCATCTTTTCCATACTACAAGCAGCATTTAAGATTTAACTAGTGAAATGTGAGCAATTATGTTATATAAGCGGGCCTTGTGCACACGTGTCTTGAACATTTCCTCATCATTTATGGGGAAATGCTTTCCTTAACATTCCTTTTATATAGAATATCTGGTTGCATTGTATTAAATACTTTCTGTTTAAAAAAAAAAATTAATTATAGGTTAAATTGTTTCAAAAATTTGCAGACATTATCAATTTTCGTAAAATTGTATGACATGTTAGAAAAAACATTTTTTTTATCTATGATTATTTCTGTGAAAAAACCTTTAGAACTATATTTATTTGTATGATGAAAGATAAGAATAATCAGGCGTTAGTTTGAGAATTGATTTCCTCTTAAAATATAATCGAATCTAATAGGACAAAAATTATTATGCCCAATCAATTTTCTTCATGATGGTAATAATTTATTTTAATCTGTTCATTGTCTTTTTTTTTTCAGAAATAATACATTATGCAGTATTTGATAGATTTATTTTTAATTTAATGATAGTAATGAGGCTTGCAAATGATAAACTAAAATCCATCTGCTTATTCTTCCTGAATAATCATTTCCAGCATTTAAATGTCCTCACATTTCATCTGTCATTTAAAAGCGTAGAATTGTGAATGGGCGATGAATATTTTTTGGAATAAATTTATGATTTTGTATTTATTGTCTCTTTTGCAAGAAAAAGAGACATTAGAAGTTCTAAATGCTTCAAAAATGTTTTCAAATCTTCTCAAATTCAAAACATTCATTTATCTCTTCCCATCTATCGCGAGAGTTTTGTTTTGCTAAAAGAGAAACAACAAGTGAGAAATGGTAAATTACTTTTGTAAACAAAAAGAAAGGAAGAAAAACACGTGAAAAAACATTCGAGAAGTATTGAAATCACGTTTTTATTGTAAATTCATATTAGTTATGAGGAAAGAATAAATTTTCGAAGTCATTATAATTACGGGGAAATATTCACAATTCCTAATATATTTGGATAGTCACTCATAAAAAAATTTTAGTTCACTCTTTTTTTTTAAGCGAATTTTATAACTTTAAGAAAAATCCTCTAAAATCTTGAACCAACTATTCAAAGCAAATGTATGAATTCCTCGTAAGTTGATTTTTCAAAATTTTTGATTTCAAAGGACTCTAAAAATTCTAGACTTGTATTAAACTGTTCAAATTTGTTTGAAATTTACAGTTGTAAGTTTTAAATTGAAATGGTAATTATTGGTGAAAGTGTTGCTGAAGTAGTGTAAAATTATTGAATGAAAAATTTTTACATCTGTTAAGAAAATATTTCTTTCCCTCTTCTTTTCAAATATTCTTCTGATATTCTGTCAAAAAACAAATCATAAAATCCAGTATGTCTCCTATTAAAGCAATCAAATTTCATTTTTTTTTCAAAATTCAATGAAATTTATTAATAACAATTTCATTTATAGAGATTTGTTTGTTTTCAAGTTAAAAAAAATCGATGATCATTAATTTGCTTGACAAAGCTTTTAAATTTTTTTCATCTTCGCGGTAATGAATTATAGGTCTAATTTCTGTAAAGCTTCTCTATGCAATTTGCATTCGTAAAATTCTTCTCTTATCAAATTGATGAATTTTATTTGAAATTTAAATCAGGATTGTTTTCATGATAGCATTAGCAGATTCCATATTTTATAGGGTAGAAAAGCTACCGAAGCTATGTTATTTGATATTGAGAGCTTCCTTAATAGCTTTTTGTATTGACTCAAAAGGTTAAATAGCATTCATAATTTGGACAAGCAATGTGCTACGAAGCGAATAAATGAACTTAGAATCACTCATCATTATTATTATNATCATCATCATCATCATCATCATCATCACCATCACCACCATCATCACCATCACCACCATCATCATTATCCATATATCGATATTTCGTTTTTAATAACTTAAAATAATTGGTTCATCTATAAATGGAATATCTGAAAACTAATTTATTAATATAAAATCTAACGGGATTAGAGTGAATAAATAATGCGTGATGTTATTTGGCAAAAGATACTACAAAGAAATTTACATCCAAGCCATATATATACATATATATAAAACGAATTAAATAAAATACTTCGTTGATGACGTCCTATTATTTCATTCTTTTCAAATTAATTAAATCTTAGCATTTTACAGTATAAAGGAAGATGCTAATGCTAGTTGTAAATTGATGCAAAATAAATATTATGTAAAATACTCTTGCGCCTTATTAAATTGTTGTTAAAAGTTTAATATAACTTTAAAAAAGAAGAACAGAATTTTCTAAGGAGTGTAATATCATTGTTAAATTAAAAATGATGAAAAGTTTGAAGAAATCTGCATACTTCTCTAATAAATTTCGATATTCTGATA